CTAGGCCTCCACCTAGCCTCAAACCTAAACTGGCAGTTACTAGCATATACCTAGGAGGCGGAAAAACTTAAGGTGCAAAAAACGAAAAAAAAATCAGCCAGAGAGACATACCTAAGACGTGGCAGTCGAAGTGTTGAATGTCTACGGTCGCGTACTTCAAGTCGACCTGACCGGATGGCTCCACTTCATGGGTGATTCTGACATTGCGAGCCAAAAAGACCGCTCGAGTGCTGGGAGCATCTCCAGGCAGGCCCGGCAATGGTGCGAGACGCGTCCTTACTTCAGCATGATCCAAATGGATATTGAGAAACAGGAACGACTGTTGATACCGGAAGCCATACACATCGTCGTCTGAGATCTTATCCCCGAGGTTGCGAATAGATCCTGTGCAAAAACGAGCTAGGAGGTAGAATCCGATGGAGAGTTCAGAAGGCAGGTGAGTGGAATTACTTATCAAAATGAGCGATTCTTATTGCTTATAGTAGTTTTTTGGATGAACATTAAATGCAATAAAATGTGAAATCAGGAGAATGGCATCTAAAACGACTAAAAACACCGACTACAGGTGGCCCGATTTATCCGATAGCGCCCGAATAAAGTCAAAGAGGAAATTTTATAAGCTTTTTTTACGGCTTGTTGTAGTTCTAGTCAGTAGCCGCTAATGTCTATTTTTGAACCTTCAAAGACACGTCTTTCAGCAGGTATGTGAAACTGGGACCCTTTTGGCAAAACAGTCACAAAAACGGGAAGAAGCATGGAAGACGCGGCTTCTTCTATGGGCTGAGCTGGTCCATATATGACCGGTTTACCCGGTCATATTTAACGTGTTTACCCCCAACTAAACCACTTGGATGATTCGAACTGCTGGCTGGTGTGAGTAACTAGCTTAAATTGTGTCGAGGAGTTGTTTCAAGTCAAGTCAAATTTATAGAGGGAAATATAGACAAACACCTTTGAACTCCCTCTTGGTATTCCGTAGTTAAGAAATGGATTGGCACAGCCAAACATTTCAAAGAAGTCGTTTACATAATTGTAGGCGATTACTCGCTTGTTCTAAGAACTACAACCACATGTGGTGATGTCAGTTAACACGAGCCAACAGGTGTAACTGAGCAAAAAGAGCAGACAGTGAAAAAACTCCTAAGGCGTGGCTCAGAATTCAAAAATGGGGTGTCATTTGTGGTTTTTTAGGATAAAAACTGTCGCTCGTGGAAGAAAGTTTGTGAAAGATAGGGCCGGCAGGCTGCTGTGAATGTTGGCGGCAGCCAGGGGGCCCATGACGAGTAATATCTTAATCCAAAGGGCCAAACGAGGAGGAGACCGCAGAGTCACAAGAACATCCCCAGGAACCAGAGATGCGACCATGATACGCCCTTGCTGTGACAAGTAACCCGTCACGGTCGTCAGCAGTCGGTTTTTAGGTCGATATGAGGAAGAGCGTGACAAGACCGCTTAGCCTAGGAGCATAGGTGCGGTAGAGGCGACTGCAGACGCGATCAGTGCAGTTCGCATAGTGAGA